GGCAGGAGAATCGCTTGAACTCAGGAGGCAGAGTTTGTGGCGAGCCGAGCCGACATAGCGCCACTGTACTCCAGCCTGGGCAACAAGAAAGAAACTCCGTCTCAAAAAATGTATATATTTTTTAAATACAAGAAAGTAATAGAAAATAATGGGGTCTATGGATGTAGTCTCCATGTATCCAAGAGATTTTTTTCTTCTAAGAAAGCGTGTACATTAAGTTCAAGAAATACTTTAAAAACAAGAGAAGGCAACAGCTGTATATGACTACATGCTGAGCGAACAAGACAAATACAAAATGCCACATAAATCCAGAGGAGAAAATCACCCTGGACTGGAAGGGCAATAGAGAGCTTCATAGAAGAGGTGGCTGAGCGCTGAAGGATGGGCATTCATTTTCTTTTTTTTTTTTGAGACGGAGTCTTGCTCTGTCACCAGGCTGGAGTGCAGGGGTGCAATCTCGGCTCACTGCGACCTCTGCCTCCTGGGTTCAAGAGATCCTTCCGCCTCAGCCTCCCAAATAGCTGGGACCACAGATGCCAGGCTAATTAGCCACCACACCCGGCTAATTTTTTTCATATTTTTAGTAGAGACGGGGTTTCACTGTGTTGGCCGGGATGGTCTTGATATCTTGACCTCGTGATCCGCCCGCCTCGGCCTCCCAAAGTGCTGGGATTACAGGTGTGAGCCACCGCGCCCGGCCAGGATGGGCATTCTTTATAGGAGCAGTGAGGACAGAGACAGTTTCAGGCACAGTGAATGGGATGATGAAAAGGGTGACGGCACAGGCAGAGAGCTGGAAGAGGTGTGGAGGCACATGTCAACAGAGTCTTGAAGTGGACACACAAGAGACAAGGCCAGAAAGGTAACGTGGGAGGCCATGCTGCAGACAGGCTCAGAGTCTATAATAAATAATTGGACAATCTTTAGCAAGTATTGAGAAATCTTGCAGATTCTTTTTTTTTTTTTTGAGACAGAGTCTTACTGTCGCTCAGGCTCGAGTGCAGTGGAGCAATCTTGGCTCACTGCAAACTCTACTTCCTGGGTTCAAGCAATTCTCCTGCCTCAGCCTCTTGAGTAGCTAGAATTACAGGTGCCCACCACCATGCCCGGCTAATTTTTGTATTTTTAGTAGCAACGGGGTTTCTCATGTTGGTCAGGCTGGTCTCGAACATCTGACCTCAGAAGATCCACCCGCCTTGTCTCCCCAAAGTGCTGGGATTACAGACATGAGCCGCCGTCCCAGGCTGCCTTGCAGCTTCTTGAGAAGAGCACAATGAAAATAATTTTGAAAGATTAGTCGTTCTGGTTATAGATAGTAATATAAATTAGAGAGGGAAGACAAGAAACTACAGAAAGGAAACTACAGAAAATAAAACAAAACTACAGAAGAGGTTAAAGCAATAACCTAGATATGAAATTGTAAAGTTCAGGGAGGTGAACCATGTATCTCAGCCAGCGACAGATGAAAGGCAGATGTAGGGACCTCCTCCAGCTTGGAGTAGGGACAGACTCCCAGACACTCACTGTTCATTGGAGCTGAGGGCTGGCTTGTTCTCCACCTTGTATAGCTTGTCTACTTCGTGTTGCTACAGAGAGAATCCAATAAGACAATGGACATAAGAGTGCCTGAAAAGCACAAAGCGTGATACAAAGATAGGGGCTTCTTGAGGGCTTCCTCATTCTGCTAATTCTAGGAATCAAACTGCTCCCCTGACAACCGTCCCACTGAACCTTCCTCAAACTGTCAACAGAAAACCCAAAAATAAAACAATGTAAAAATAGTAAGGCCAGGCAGGGTGGCTCACGCCTGTAATCCCAGCACTTTGGGAGGCCGAGGCGGGCGGATCACCTGAGGTCAGGAGTTTGAGACCTGCCTGGCCAACATGGTGAAACCTTGTCTCTACTAAAAATACAAAAATTAGTCGGCCTTGCTGGCAGGCACCTGCAATCTCAGCTACTCGGAAGGCCGAGGCAGGGGAATCGCTTGAACCTGGGAGGCGGAGGTTGCAGTGAACTGAATTGACGCCATTGGACTCCAGCCTAAGGGACAAGAGCAAGGCTTTGTATTAAAACAAACAAACAAACATACAAACAAAAAACAGTGTGGGCTAAGTGCAGTGGCTCATGCCTGTAATCCCAGCACTTTGGGAGGCTTGAACCCAGGAGTTCGAGATCAGCCTGGGCAACATAACAAGATTCTGTTGCTATAAAAAAAAAAAAGAAAAATTTATCTATATACATTTTTAATACATGCGGGTGTGCATATGTGTGTGTGTGTGTGTGTGTGTGTGTGTGTGTGTATGTTCTATAGCAAACAGATTCAAAAAAATAAGTACATAATAAAATTAAATTTTAAAATTGACCAGGTGTAGTGTCACATGCCTGTGGTCCCAGCTACCTGGGAAGCTGAGGCAGGAGGATGGCCTGAGTCCAGGAGGTCAAGGCTGCAGGGAGCTGTGATTGTGCCATTGCACTGTACTCCAGCCTGGGCAACAGAGAGACTCCGTCTCCCCCGATAAAACAAAATCCAACAAACAAAAAATATGAACAACAGCATCAGTCCCACTTTTTCACACAATTCAGCTACCCTCTATTTGCCCTATAACGGTAGTCACGCTTCAGTCATTTGTATTCTTCACCAAAAGAAAAACTGCTCAAGGAGGAAAGAGGGGCATGACCCCAGGGAAAGGGACCGTACCTTCAGAATGGAGACACTGGCAATTCGATCCAAAGGGCTCATGAGATCTGCCTCAATGAATAAATCCTTTTTTCCAGGAAGCTGAAGGAGACACAGGATGCCGGGTCACTCACAGTCCCACGAGCTTCCTCAGCTGAGAACTGGCCTAGCCACCCATCTATCAGAAACAGCCTCTGAGGTGGGAGGGCCCTAAGCATGGTCTCCCGGGTATGTTATTAATTATCTGGATCCACAGCTGACATTTCTCTGTATATTTGCCTATTTTGCCTTCTCATTTTCTGTACCAGTAGGTAGACATTCCACCTTCTTTCTCAGGTTAATTCCTTGTCACTCACTTTCTCAGGTTAATTCCTTTGCTCACCTGTGACCTTGATCTGCACCTTACTCCCCATCTCTGCTCCCTTCTCCACTCTGGCTCCCAACCACCCCTGATCTCCTGCTGAACAAAGCCAAATGCAACAGAACGCCACCTTGCATTTTCCCCCCAAGTACAAAATAAAATAGTACACATTCACTGCAGAAAACTTAGCAAAGCCAGGACAGTCCTCACCCCATTACCCTTCCACTCCCTCACCCCACAATCCCTGTCATCTGATTCCTGTGCCACCACTCCTGACACAGACCCTCAATGCCTGTTCAGAGGAAGGAGTGGTCACAGTTAGTGACAGGGAGGGGAAAGTCATTCGACATTTCCTCTCAACCAGGCCTTCACAAATGAGTAGGGTGTTGACATGGACGTATGAAGAGGGCAGCCGGCGAAGATCAGGGAAAGAGCATAGGCTGCGTGGTAAGGGGACGATATTGCCCTCCAAGAGACATTTGGCAATGTCCAGAAATGTTTTTGGTTGTCTGACTCAGGGTAGAGATTTTACTGGCATCTTTGCTTCTGTTAGAGAGGTGGGTAGAAGCCAGGGATGCTGCTAGACATCTAACAACTTACAGACAGCCCCCACCACAGACAATGATCCAGCCCAAAAGAAAAGGTCAATGGTATAGACAGCAGGCAATCTTTTATTTTTTTATCTTATTTGTTGTTTTTGTTTTCTTTAGTTTTAGAGATAGTCTCGCTCCATCACCCAGGCTGAAGTCCAGTGGCGTGATCTCAGCGCACTGCAACCTCTGCCTCCAGGATTTAAGTGATTCTCCTGCCTCAGCCTCCTGAGTAGCTGGGATTACAGGTGTGCACCATCACACCCAGCTAATTTTTGTAATTTTAGTAGAGATGGGGTTTCACCATGTTGGCCAAGCTGGTCTTGAACTCCTCACTTTGTAATCCACCCGCCTCAGCCTCCCAAAGTGTTGGGATTACAGATGTGGGCCACCACGCCTGGCCTGTTTTTTTTGTTTGTTTTTTTAAGATACAGTCTCACTCTGTCGCGAATTGGCACGATCTCAGCTCATTGCAACCTCTGCCTCCCAGGGTCAAGCAATTCTCCTGCCTCAGCCTCCCAAGTAGCGCCTCCCAGGCGCCCTCCACCACACCTGATTAATTTTTGTGTTTTTAGGAGAGGCAAGGTTTTGCCATGTTGGCCATGGTAGTCTCGAACTCCTGACCTCCTCAGGTGATCCAACTGCCGCAGCCTCCCAAAGTGTTGAAATTACAGGTATGAACCACCACGTTTGGCCTTTAAAAATTTCTATTCTTATAAGTAGATTTTATCTGCTCTTATCACACAAAGAAATGTAACTATGTGAGATAACGATTATGTTAATCTGCTTCATTATAGTCACCATTTTACTCTCTCTCTATATCCTATTACGTCATGTTGTTTACCTCAAATATACACAATAAAATTTATTTTAAAAAATTTTCTATTTTTATTTTTATTTATTGTTAAATTTCCCAAACCAAAAATGATCAACAGAGGGTAGGAAATCTTGATGTAGGTGAATGGCAAAAAACAGAACAAAATAGTTGCTAGAATTGTGCAGGAAGGGCTCCAAATGCCAGCTTACGAGAGCGTAGCCTTGATCCTCTAATGTAACAGGGAAAAACAAAGTTTTGTACAATGGAGCATTCCAATCAGCTGGAAATGTTAGATGAGTCTGGCAGCTGGACTGAAGAAAGGAGAAACTGGAGGCAGGGAGTCTGCTTAGGGAGTGAATGAAACAGTCCCGGCAGCCCAAGCGTGTGGCAATGAAAGAAGGCCTGATGGCCGGGCGCGGTGGCCCATGCCTGTAATCCCAGTACTTTGGGAGGCCGAGGCAGGCGGATCATGAGGTCAGGAGATAGAGACCAGCCTGGCCAACATGGTGAAACCTGGTCTCTACTAAAATACAAAAATTAGCTGGGCATGGTGGCAAGTACCTGTAATCCCGGCTATTCAGGAGGCTGAGGCAGGAGAATTGCTTGAACCCGAGTCAAGAGTCAAGATCACCCCACTGCACTCCAGCCTGTTGACAGAGTGACAATCCATCTCAAAAAATAAAAATAATAATAATAAAGAGAGCCTGATTTAGACTGTGGAGGTATGAACAAAAATAGGTTAAGAGATACATGGAATGTGTAATATAATTTTGTTAATACTTGAAGGAAATTAACAGTGTTAACAGTGTTTATAACTCATGGTAGCACTATAAGTAATTTTTTTCTTTTACTTTCCTTGATCTTCTTATATTTTCTATAATGTGCAAGTGTTATTTTATAATCACTATAAAAGAGTCGTATGTAAAGAAGTATCCATGGGGCTGGGCATGGTGGCTCACGTCTAATCCCAGCACTTTGGGAGACTGAGGCAGGCAGATCACAAGGTCAGGAGTTCAAGACCAGCCTAACCAAGATGGTGAAACCCCATGTCTACTAAAAATACAAAAATTAGCCAGGCATGGTGGCAGACGCCTATAATCCCAGCTACTCGCGAGACTGATGCAGGAGAATCGCTTGAACCAGGGGGACGGAGGTTACAGTGAGCCGAGATCGTGCCATTGCACTCCAGCCTGGGTGACAGAGCGTGACTCTGTCTCAAACAAACAAAAAAAAGAAGTATCCATGGAACTCAGTAAGTACCAGGGTGAAGGAGAGGCAATGATGATTCTGACATTTCAAGCCTGAATAGCAGTGCACATTAACAAAAAATTAAGTCAGAAGTTAGTTAGGAGAGGATGTTATTGCCTGGAAATCCACTCACCATGCTGAATCACCCAGTGGGCTCAAGTTTCTCTCCTTGGTCACCTCTACTCTCTTTCTTATTGATCTCACCTGAACTAGCGGCTTTAACTAGCACCTCTTTTCAATTCTTCAGACAGGTGTTGCAAGCCACACGCTTGGGCTGCCTTACTCCCTAAGGGGACTCCCTGCCTCCAGTTTCTCCTTTCTTCAGTCCAGTTGCCAGTTGTATAAAAGAAAACTAGGCTGGGCATGGTGGCTTAAGCCTACATTTCCAGCACTTCGGGAGGCCAAAGCAGGCAGTTCACCTGAGGTCAGGAGTTTGAGACCAGCCTGGCCAAGATTTGGTGAAGCGCCATCGCTACTAAAAATACAAAAATAAGGCCGGGCGCGGTGGCTCAAGCCTGTAATCCCAGCACTGTGGGAGGCCGAGGCGGGTGGATCACGAGGTCAAGAGATCGAGACCATCCTGGTCAACATG